TGTTTGTGTGTGTGTTAAAAAACAAATTTGATTAATAATCTTTTTTCATTCTGATGATGAGCAAACTAAAATGTAATGCCTATAGCCAACAAAGAAAGAGAATGTCTAATTTTTGTATTATCAATTTTTGCTGTCAGAACTATCATATAAATTTGTAAGCATTTTCATGGCTTTATGTACCAATTTATTGTTCATTCCAGTTTGTTTTTGTTTCACAGGAACTTTAAACAGTGTAGAAACTTGTATTTTTTGTGGTTTTTGAATGTATCTGTTAGTGGTGTGACATGGTGATATACATCAAAGTGATATCCACATTTCAAGCTTGACAGTTTCTGCTTATTAGAAAGTTAGACAATAACTAACATTTGTTTTAAATGTTCTTGTATTTCAGTCACAAGGAAAGTAGTTGTCAGGAGTCATTATGTCATATGCAGTTATCAAAGTCAGCTCTTAAGGATCTTGTAACCAAGAGGTGGCACCAGTTTTGGGTTCAGGCAAGCCAATTGATGGTTGTGGAAAAGGCAGTAACTTCCTACGATGTGGGAGTGTTCTTACCATCACATGATCATCTCCTTATGAAACTGAGTCACCAAAATGAAGGAACAATTGTTTGTATTGTGACAGATAACTGGAGAATTTTTCCTTGGTTAAATGAGGTTTTAAAAAGCCTAGAAAAGAAATAGAAAAACAGTAAAAAATACTCGAGTAAAAAATAAATTTGAAATTTTTTTGTAATGGTTTGTTGTTTTATGGTGTAATGTTAATGATAATAATAACAAAATGTTAGTTTTTCTTTCAAAAGCTAGAAAGTTAAATCATGGTTTTAATTTGCAAATGCTAATAATATGTTAAATTGTTTTGTTATTTATTTCCACACTATTGTTATTTCAATTTTAAGTCTTTCCCTAGCATATCTTTATAAGGGAAATTTAAACAGTTTGGCCACAAACAAAGAAAATACTTGTATGTATTTAGTTCAGTAAAAGTGGCTTAATGAGGATTGTTTTTATCTTTCTGCAAGGGGGATTCCCTTTTAAGCATGTAGATCACTGTGTAAATAGCATAGCAAAATATTCTTAAAAAACACACCAGGTGGTTGTGAAAGATAGTTTTAAATCATAGTGCAAGGTGTTGAAATATTCTTAAAAACACACCAGGTGGTTGTGAAAGATAGTTTTAAATCATAGTGCAAGATGTTGTTGGATATTATTGAAGATACTAGACTTGGTTTTGTTTATTTCTAAAGAAAAGTAACAGTAAATGATATAAGTTATCAAGAGTCATTGTTCATGGATAGCTTATCTTAAATAAAACTGTTTGGTATGAGGGATCTGGGTTTGAACAGTTTGTAAAGGCTACTCAGTTATTCATTAGCTTGTGTCTCAATAAACTTTTATAGTCTTCTGACCGAGTATGTTACTTTCAAATCTGATATTGATTGTGGTTTTAACAAGATGAAAGAAAATATTTATTTTTCTTAATATCAGTAGACATATCTTTATTTTATAGAATTAGTGCAATTTTAGGCCAAACAAAAGTGATTAAATGAATATTTGTTTCTCACATTCCTATTAGTCTGTTGCCAATTTTGAATCGTAGTTATTCCACATGACTTGTTGCAGACAAAAGATAGATGTCAAATACTATTTTTTAAAAACATCTCTCATGTTAAATCTGTAATGGACTACTTACAAAAAATGTAAGAAAGAAACATCTGCATTCCAGCACCAGTTTAATTACTTATGCGAGCTTAAGGATTTTCATTAGTTTACCATTATAGGTGTTTTACACCCTATAGTTAATATAATGTTTATCAGTGTTCATTATGTATGACATCTGTAACTATTTGCCTTTTAAGCAAGTACATCTCTCTCTATATATGATACATAACTTTATTTTATGAATTGGAAAAGAACAGGTTTAATTTTCATATCACCAAAGAGCATGTATAGTTGAGTATATATGTATGAGTGCAATACAAGCAGTATTAAATATTTTTATATATTTAGTGAAAGTAGATAGGTTGAAAACTGAGTACTGAACAAGCAGTTCGTTCTCTGTATTTTGGCAGCACAAGCATTAAAATTCCTTGTGCTATAAGTATATATATATATTAATGAATATTTATATTTTTAATCATATTTTGGATAATTCCAGTTTATTAACTAATTTTAATTAATATGTCTTCTTGGTTAATGATACATCTTACTGAATATCCAGACTTTTATAGTTACAAGTGATTTAATGTATTATATGTACAATCGTGTGTAAACACTACTGTATAATTTATTTAGAATGGTTTACTGAAGTTTATTTGGTATAAATATGCTATGAATAAATATTACCTATGTTTGTTTCCAACAGATCATCACATCTTACTTTCTACATTAATAACAGAAATAATTGAAAGATACCACAGTCTTTAGTGTATCATACTTATTACGTGCTCTCAATTATTAACACCGAGCTACTCTATTGTTGTGAGTTTTTAACACAACTCTTCTTGGTCGAAACATTAAATTCACTAACCATAGCAATAACTTGGGTCCCTAACCTAACCCCATGGAAAAGCAAACTGCCAGATTACTGGAAGATAAGGTGGTTTAGACACCCTTTTTTTATGTGTTCACTGCAGAAAACTTACAAATGTCATAAAAAACGTATAGTTCTTCACACAAAACCTAGATAGGCATTCAAGAACATGAAAAATAGTCGAATGCAACAAATTTGCATATTGTGTGTTACTAAGAAGTTCTACTACCTACATTAATTAGTGACACACTATTTAATCTTTTGTGGGCTAAATATGTAAAAGCAGAGCAAATGAATTGAAGTAACTTTCACTACTCTGCCATCTGTTGTGGGCTAAAAGTGTAACAGCAATTAAATAAACTGAAGTAACTTTGACCAATCTGCTGGATAGTACATGTAAAAATACCAAGTGCATCTGTTGGAATTAAATACTAACCTAGTGATAAGTTGCAATGGTTACAAGTTATACGCTTGAAGGTTACTGCAAGTAAAAAAGTAAATCTTATTTTTTCTAGGCCTTGCATATAAGTCCAAAGAAACCAGTTTGATTACAGACACTCACTTGATATATCATTTTCGTTATTTTCTTTTTTTTTTAGGTCGATAAGTTGAAAATTGTAGTTTTTTGCTTTAAATTGTAGTGCTGATAGGAAATGTTTGGGCGTATGACAAAAAACAGGCTGACTGACATTTTTTATTCCTGAGCTTATGTGCAACATTTGGGTATAGTTGTTTAATTAATAATGGTGTATGACCGAAACATTGAGGTATAAAAAAGGATGGAGAAACAAAACGTTGTCCTGTTTTTATAATATAAAAATTTGTCCTTGAAACATTTTTGAAGATCGGAGTTTTCTTCATTGCCTGGAAGCTTGTGATCACCATAATAACCATCCATTGTAAACTATTGACTTACATTTACCTAATCTTAAATAAAACTCATTAAATATTCAAAAGAGCTTTAAGTCTTTTTTATTTATTTTGCGACTGTTAGAAATTGATCACTTATGTACCAAATATGCTTAACCCAGGAATTACCGGTGGAGCTTATCCACATGTTTTTAACTATTTATTAACCAAGTTGCCTGTGAGGTCGTGATTTTGTAAGTTACAGGGTGCTTAATAACATATGAGCCACAAAAAAGTTTTATAAAAATAGTCAGTATGGTAAAATAACCCCAATAATTACTATTTCGATGCTTTATGTATTTTGGGGCCTGAAATAGGCTGATAATTAAAGCGCTTGTATTGAAGTCCACGAATCGGGAGATCAAAATCTGGTGCCGAGAATGCTCCCTTCAGCCTTGGAGGTGTAATAATGGTACAGTCAGTCCCACTATTTCTTGGTGAAAGAGTTGGTGGTGGGTGTTGCCAGCCAGCTGCCTTCCATCTTGTCGGCAGGTCAAAATTATGGACAGTGGCAGATAGCCTTAGTAACTTTGACATAAACAAACAAAAACAGTATGTATTTTACATTGTAAAGGGTGATATCACCCACGTGTTTTAGTTGTTAATAGGCATTTAACTTTTCAATTTTTGATAGTCGGTCTGCTTTCAAAACACAGGGTGGATTCTCTAAGTGGAAAAGTATGACATACATGTAGATGAAAAAGAAGACAACAAAAGCAGTATGCTGCTTTATGTAGAGGTGAATACACTAACCAGGAACGATTGACCTCTTGTGCATTCAGAAGGTGTCGTTTGAAACAAAATGCAGTCATAGAATGCTCATCTTTGGCATCAAATGGACCTCCTTTATGTTGAAATTTGTGTGCTCCAACTTTAACAATCTCTATGCGATGTGCATGTGTTACAACTACTGAGCCTGTTGTATCAAACTTCATAAATACAATATCCTTGTGTGTTAAAATATTTATTAGGTCATCCTCTTTTAGCTTAGCAACACTATTTTGTGGATTTGTTTCTGACAAAGTGGAATCTTCTTGTTTATTATTATTGTAGCTTTCAACAGGCCAGAGAACAGTTTCTTCATTGTTTTCTTTTTCAAATGAAATAGCATGTTCACAATCTTGCACTTTGACCTCTTTGCTGCCATCAAAAGGAACAGATGCTAGCTTACTGGTGTCATCACTTCCAGCAAGGAAAGCTCTCATCAATTTGCTTGATTCCACCATCGAAGCTGCAAATTGTGCACGTCTTTTGCATCCCTGTGGCCCACTTTATTTTCTCGACATAATGGGCTAAAAGAATAAATTAATAAATACTGACTACATTATTTAGTTGCAACATGCAAATTGTCAGATGAAAGTAAACATTCTACTTTCCTAAGTTCCTAACCACAAAGTATATTTAAATTATACAATTATAGTTGCAACTCAGAACTAGTTAGGCACATCTGGACCTGGTTTCACTTTAACTGCCATTATTTAGACCACCCATACTCATGTTAATTAATGTGACACATCAGTAAGAAAATCAATGCAGATGAATATATATATGCTGGTAAATCATGCTTATGAGCACCATATAAATTACTGGCAGTTGCTAAATAAAACTGGTTTATTCTTTCTGAATACAACTTTGCAATACACTTAATTTCCACAGTCACGTTATAACAAATGCTATAATTCACAACGAACGACACACGTGCTCCACCCAACAGTATGTGTGTCTCTCTCTGTCTGCAGTTCCATTACATTACATTGTTGCCGGCACTTCTTACCGGTCTTATATATACAAGAATACCGCATATCTAGTAACCTCTCGGAAAGGGCATGAACGTTCTAGAATAGCATGACGTGTTACTAGAGTCACGTGATCTCCGCTGTAGTAACAATATATATATATTAGGTCGTCAAGAAATTAATGTCACGTTTTGGAACACTTTCATTAACCATTCCCCAAAAAAATGTACATCACCTATACTAGTTAAACGAACCACTTAAACATCACGTTAGTGTAACCTATATAATGTGTAAAGTTTAATACACCCTAATCCCTTATAGTGATGGCACACGACGAGACACACAGTTGACATGTAATGTTGTTTGAATACAAGAAGGGAAACAACACCTCTGTAGCTACAAAGAATATCAAAGAAGTTTATGGAAATGTTTTGAACATTTGTAAGTGTCCACAATGTTTCAGCAAATTTCGTTCAAGTGACTGTAGCCTTAAAAACTGTGAAAGTAAGGGCTGACATGTTGGAATTGATATTGATATTGATGCTCTGAATACACTTGTTGAGTCTAACCCAAGGCAACACACCCGTGAAATGGACCTGAAATTGCATGTCTCTCATGAAACAATACGTAGACATCTAAGGAACATGAGAAGACTCCATAAAGGTGTTTGGATGCCTCATGAACTCTCCAATGTTCATCGTTTCCAAGGTGTGAACGTTGCTTTGTCTCTTTTGGTGTGTAATGCGCGTGAACCACTTTTGGACAGAATTGTTACCGGTGATGAAAAATGGATTCTCTATGCAAATATTAAATGCCAAAAACAATGACTCAGTCCTAGACAAAAACCACTTCTGACCACAAAACCTGGACTCCACCTGCAGAAAGTGATTCTTTGCATTTGGTGGAACATCAAAGGAATATTTCATTTCAAACTCTTCAATCCACAGCGAACTGTGAATGCAGAGATATACAGTCAGCAACTGGAACAAGCCCTTCATCAGAAATGCCCTTCACTCGTCAATCGGAAAGGTGTTCTACTTCTCCTCGACAATGCACGTCCACATGTGGCACGTTTGATGCAACACAAAATTATGGAGTTGGGTTAGGAAGTTCTCCCCCACCCACCATATTCTCCAGATATGGCACCATCAGATTCCCATATTTTTCGTTTGCTGCAACACCATATTAATGGGAAAACGTATGAAAATGTGGAAGGTGTTAAAGAAGACAT